CACACACACACTCAATACACATACAAAAATATACATATACTATATGTGTGTGTGTGTATATATATATATATATATACTTTATATATTTTTATATCTATACACACACATACACACACACACACACATACTCAATACATATACTAAAATATACATATACTATATATGTGTGTGTGTGTATATATATATATATACTTTATATATTTTTATATTTATACACACACATACACACACACACATACTCAATACATATACTAAAATATACATATACTATATGTGTGTGTGTGTATATATATATATATATATACTTTATATATTTTTATATCTATACACACACATACACACACACACACATACTCAATATGTATACTAAAATATACATATACTATATATGTGTGTGTGTATATATATATATATATATATACTTTATATATTTTTATATCTATACACACACACACACACACACACACTCGATATGTATACTCAGACATACAAATATCACATATACATAGCCTGGCAGAAGCTGAATTGTGGCCTCAGTGTGTGCTTGTGCAGCACACAGTGACTTTACAGAGCTGCCAGACCAGGCTCGCCCTCGCAGGCCATCCAGCTCAGATGTTTCCCTGTCCTGCCCTGCCCATTTGCACGGGCTTGGGGGGACCCAGGGAGCGGAACGCCGTGGCAGCAGGAACACGCTGTTGGCAGGGCCAGCATGGGAACTCAGGTATCGGAGCCCGGTCTTCCCCTCTGCCCTGCACCTGCTGCCTGTCTTGGCTGTCCTGTAGAAGAGGCTGATCTGCAGAGAGGTGTACTGCTCAGGCAGAGTCCTCTTCTGCTGTGGCCGTGTCAGCGCCATCCCCGGCCTGTCAGGTGACTGTGTTCCTCAGCGGCTTATCAGGTGTCCCCCTCTCTCCCTCTCTCTGCAGCTCCTATCCGTGCCTGTGGACCATCAGCAATGGTGGCGGGGGTCCTGTTGGGCCGGGCCCAGAGGTGGCCACTGGCACCCCGGCAGCCTTTCTGCGCCCTGCTACAGCTGGAACATCACCATCCTCTCTGCTCCCCACCCAGGTGCCCACGCCGGCTGGTGTGGAGGTGCTGGGGGAGCCCTCACTGACTAGCATCGCTGTGTCCACCTGGACAGCAGTGGCCTCGCACCCCTTCTCGGGCTGGGGTGGCCCAGGTGGGGGTGGGCGCCGGTCTCCGTCCTCGCTGGACAGTTAGGGAGGGCCCTGGGACCTCTGTCAGGGAGAATCTCTGTATGTAGTGTGCTAGGAGCCTGTCTGTGGAGTACAGGGAGTCTGACTGCAGGGCACCCACCCACTGGGGGCTTAGAGGCCGTGGGCTGTCCCCACAGCCCTGAGAGTGGCTCAGTGCGGATGGTGTGACCACGCCGTGGCATCTCCCCACCTCTGCTTCTGCACACGTGTTTCCCCTGCCGCTTGCCCTGTGCCTACTTAGGTGACAGAAGTTCACAGGGACCTCCTTGTGCCCTGGTCCTAGGGAGACCCCTTCTTGTCCCGTGGAGTGAGTGCGAAGGCCACCTAGCTAAGGCCACTGCTTGTGGCTTCTGCAGCCCTGGCCGCCGTGCACGGCCGCAGGGCCCGGGCTGCCTCTGCCCTGAAGCTGGAGTGTGCGAGCCCATGGAGCAGGCTATGCAAGGATGACCCAGGCTGCCAGGAAGGACTCAGCTGTGTGCCTGGAACCGAGGAAGCAAAGTCACGTCAACCCTTGCTCAGAACGCTCAGTGGCTCTCCGGGGCCTACAGGATGCGTCTGCTCACTGCAGGAGGCCTCCGCCGACTGGCCTCGGACCCCATCCTTCTTGGATCCGTCTGTGGCCCTTTAGCACGCCCCGTCTTTAGCACGCCCTAGCAGCCGAGGCAGCGAGCTCTGCCCTCCGAACACTCGCGCTTTCACTGCACACCTCCACCTGGCCCGGGTGTCCTCCGTTCCAGTCCTCCAGATCCCCCACTGCAGGTTCTGCTGAGCGCTGTTCCCTGCACTGCGCACCCGCTCTGCCCAGGTCTGCCTGGCCTCGACCTCCTCCCCGCTCTCCGTGTTTGTTACTGAGTCTCCCCACTAGACCACGCCTCTGGAGGGGAGGCCAGCCTTCCTGTCTCTGCAGCCTGCAGGGCCTGGTACCTTGCTTGCCTGTTGTAGGTGCTCAATAAACCCTCACTGAGTCCGGCTGGTGTGGCATCCCGTGGGCCGAAGGGCTGTGTGGGGCAGTGGGAGGCAGAGCTCGAGGTCACTGAGGGAGCCAGGCCCGTGGGGTGCTCCTCGGCTCCTCCTGGGGTGCAGAGGGTTGGCAGCGCGCCATGCTGGTGCGTGGAGACAGGTGTGCCACAGCAATTCCCCTGGCTGGGAGTCCCTGGAGACCCGGGTTGGGTCAGCTCTTTGGGGCTGGAGTCCAGGCGTCTGCATTTCCAGCAAGTGATCCAGGCAGCGGCCGCAGAGCCAGATTCGGAGACACCTGCCTGGAAGAGGCTGGCCCACACTCCAGGAGCCTCACTGGCTGTTCCCGCCCGTGCCCGCCGAGGCCCTCGCTGTGGCTGGGAGCCCCGACGCCGTGCCCCAGATCTCCCTGCCTTTCCTCCCTCTGCATCACGTGCACCGCTGCAGAGTGGGTGCACCTGGGTGAGGGGCAGCTGCTGAGCCTCGGCCTCGCGGCAGTCGAACAGCCCTCTCGCCATCACTGGGAAAAGCCGAGGTCCACCAGAGTCCGACAGTGGCTTGCCTGTCCCCACTGTGCGCCCGCCGAGTGCCTGCACAGCCCGTCCCAGGCGCGGTGTGAGGTCTAAATGTGGCACACCGAGTCTTCGGCTCCTGCCACAGAGCAATTCCTGTGGAGGCCTGTGCTCTTCTATTGTGGGCTCAGGTCTCTGGAAACATCGTCTCTAACGAGCTGTCCTGTGCAGCTGCATTGCCCTCTCAGGATGTCTGGCCATGGCCCTGGCTGCCGCAGCCCTGCACAGTCCCCGCACAGCCACCGTCCGGGAGCTGGTTGGTCAGCACGCCTGCGCAGCTCCAGCCCTGGCTCCCTAGGCCCTTGGCTGTGCCATTAGGGCTGTTAAGATATGAATGAATGTATGTACTTGCTTCTTGGAGAGATGGTACTTCCTTAAGTTTTAAAAAGTGACTGTTTCTTGGGTCAGCAAGTGGCATGGAGGTTAAGGTGCTGGATCCCACATGGCCAGCGTTGTGGCTCGAGTCCCAGAACTGGTGGCTTGAGAATCACGCCAGGCCTGTATGCACGCATTCCCAAAATCTGAAGAGGAGAATGGAGAAGGGATTGCAGGGTGGCCATCCCCTCTGGGGGGCACCGTCTCACATTCCCTCTCTCTGTCTCTCTCTGGTGCATGCACACACCCTCTGGCAAACACACACACACACACACACGAAGAAAAGTGAGCACGTCTGAGTCTGTTAGCAGTGAGCCCCACGTGGCCTCCAGCATGGCCTCCTCACAGTCATGCACCAAGCAGATAACGAGTACAGTCAGACAGTCAGGTCTTGCCCTTCCCGTGCCCTTCCCCTGGCTTGGAGCAGGCAGGGATATGGTCCAGAGGACAGAAAAAAGACCCCCCCTCCATCCCTTGTGTACCCATGCTGCTCAGGTGAGTCAGGTCCTGCAGGGCCATGACCGAGGGGAGTGGAGCGTGGGGTGCCGGCGCCTCCTCAGACCTGCAGGGTGCTCAGCATGGGCTCTCGGTGCTGTGCCGCCTCGGTGGCCAGCCTGCTCACAGGATGCCCGCCTGCCACCTCTTCGGCCAGAGCCAGTCTCTCTGGGCGTTTCTTTGAACAGCTCAGGGCTACTTCCTGGTCAGAAGGCACAGCTTTGATTACATCCGCTTAATAAATGGCAGATGCTGCTGGGTTGGGGCTTGTTCCCAT